TATAATGAAAGCCCTTTAAGGCCATCTATAAAAATGGTCAAGGGCGCTTACTGAAATACGCTGAAGCTATAGCTATTCATAAACTTAGCCACCCCACCCCTGTCTATTAGAAAACAGTTTATTATTACTTTTAAACTACCTTGGTAATCCTTAATTGATTGGATTACCAAATGTTTGTGTTAATAATTCAAAAATCTTGTTTTTTGTCACTTTGTTTAATTCGCGAAAAATAAGCAAGGACCCTCTGACAGTGAAGGAACTGAATGGGTTTCTGCGATATTCTGTCAAGCTTGCTGAAGTTAATGCGAAGATTAGTTTTCTCAGAGAGTGTATGAATAATCATGAATATCCCAAGTGGTATTGGAAAGCTCTACGTCGCAACCACATTTATCCGAACTCGAAATCCATCAAGCGTCATACCCTGAACCATATTGATTCCATTATATCACGTGTGCCAGAACTCGAGAGGAACATAGCGCAACGTTCCTCTGCGTTACACGAATTGTCTTGTGATGAACGACAAGCATTTACCGACTATGTCACTCTGGTTACGGAGAAGCGTACACAGGCCATCCATTCTAACTTATTGAAAAGTCTCAAAGCTACAGAAACACGACGCAAGTTTCCAGAAGATCCCAGCAAATTTGTATTCAATTATTCTTCAGTAACGTTATCTCCCATACAACTGGAGGCCTTGTCTCTCGGACCAAGATTTTGCGACATGAACTCAAACATAAGCAAGCTCAATACTTATGTCGAGTTTGAAAATTTGATCAATCAGACTACTTTGTTTAATATTTAATTTTGGAAAAATGAAGAGTAATTAAGGAATAAGCGTGTGCACAGGTTGATTACGTAACAGATTGGTAAAGAAAACTGAGACGATTTGGACAATGATAATTTGTAACTAAAGCTGAAGTGGTCATAAGAACAAAATAATTTTTACAAGGATAACACGTAATTAAAGATGAAGTAGTCAGAAAAAATAATAAAAGAATATGGACAATTATAGTTCTTTATAGTTTTTTAAAAAGAAAAAATATTTTAGGGGGAGGGAGATGAAGTGGTCCAATTTATACAGTCATGTAACGATGGCCAAGGTAAGGAAAGTGGCTGTACAAATTTCTTCTGAACACACAAGTTTGGCTTCTTCAGGTGGATTCCTATTTCTACAGCAATTTTCCTTACCTTGGCCATCGTTACATGAATGTATAAACCTGACTACTTCGTATCCTCCCCCTAAACCTTTAAAAATTATAATTGTCCATATTCTTTTTATTTTTTCTGACTACTTCATCTTTAATTACGTGTTATCCTTGTATTATTATTATTGCTCCCTTGGGTTCCTAGTGGAACATAGGGCTTCAACTGCACGTCTCCATTTTCTTCTGTCTTCTGCTATACTTTTCGCCTGCATCCATGTTAATCCATATTCTTTCAACTCCTCTTCACACGATCTCCTCCATGTCACTCTTGCACTGACGTCCCAAACGCCGCTTCCCTTTCGGCCTCATTCCACTCGAGCAATGGCCTGACTTGCGCGCGCTATGTCACCAACCGACCTCCTCAGCGAGTGTCCGATCCATCTCCACTTTCTCCTGCATATTTGTTGAGTGATTGGTTCTTGCTTTGTTTGTTCCCATAATTCCTTGTTGGTGATTCTTTCCAGCCATCTGATCTTCAGTATTGAGCGAAGACAGTTGTTAATAAAGGTCTGCAGCCTTTTGGAAATATTCTTTGTGACCCACCCGCCAAGTTTCTCATCCGTATAGAAGAACTGACTTGACGTTTGTATTGAAAATCCGAATTTTGTTGTTGATGCTGAGTGACGAAGATTTCCAGATTGATTTCAGGCTGATGAATGTGTTTCTCGCCTGCCTTCCCGATTCTCGATTTGACATCCTCGTCCGCTCCTCCTGCAGTTGAGACAATGCTCCCTAGATAAGTGAGTGGATGAAGTAACCTCTTTCAAATCCCTCCTGTTGATGGTGATCGACGTTGGATGTTGTTGCTGTTGTTAGTTGGTTATTTTCATAACCTCCGTCTTGTCTATATTTACCTGGAGTCCTGTCTTCGCTGGCTGCTTCTTCGACCAGTTTGTCGGTTTTCGCTTGTAAGTCTTCGATTGTGTGTGACATCAAACATAAGTCATCCGCGAAATCCAGGTCTTCTAGGTTCTTCACGTTGGTCCAGGATATTCCTGTCTTCTCGTTTCCCACTGTCTGACGCTTAATCTAGTCCACGCCAACAAGGAATATCATTGGTGATAGTAAGCACCCTTGTCTGACTCCTGTGTTTACTCCAAACGCCTCGCTGAGTTTTCCGTTGTGGATCACTTGGCAGGTGCCGTTGTAGTACAGCTGTTGAATAAGGTTGATGAATATTTGGGGTACGCCATAGTGCTCGAGTAATTTCCCAATTACTTCACGATCAACGCTGTCGAAGGCCTTCTCAAACTCTATAAAGTTATCCTTGTAAAATTATAATATTTAATTGCCCTTAATTTTCTTTCCGCATATATCAATGTGTGTGTGTGTGTGTATGTGGTCAGACTGTTCGAAATGTTTATTGCGCAAATATATCACATCACATTTTTCAGATAATCTCAGTCTTCTAATAACACTATCCCAATTTATAAAAGAGGCTAATTATTTCAAACGATCCAGATCACCTGACCACTAAGTGGGAAATTGTGAACTCCAAATACAGCATTGAAGAGCTTCAAAATAGCACGAATCAACTGTCCAGTAATTCTCGCTCTCTAGTTATCCCTCCAACTGATACAGGTTAGTGAACAAATCTGTTTTGAAACTTATTAAAATTTCTACGAAACTCAAAGTCTAACTACTCAAACAATGCAGGTACATCCAAACGACGAGTCCAAAATAGGACGAAATGCGCATTCTAGATTCCACTGCTAGTCACCATCCACCAATCAGTTTTAAGTTAGATTATACGTGTGACCACGGATTGATATCAGTTAGAGAACCATTGAAAATCAGTACTGGAGTACTGGACAGCTCTCGTTAGTTTCGCGCTAAGTCACGAATTGGTAGGAGTTCGAAATCATGAGCCATTGAATTGGGTCTCAGTGGCTGAATGGTATACGAGCTCGCCTTGTGACCGGAAGGTCCTGGGTTCGATTCCCAGTGGGTGCGTACTGCCGATGATTCCCAGACTAGGATGAAACAGCAGCTGTCCAGTACTCCCTGGTTTTCAATGGTTCTCTGACTGATATCAATCCGTGATCAACTCGTAAAACATAACTAACCCTTACAAACCAAACTATAGAAAAATACACACATTGTTCCAGTCAATATTGTGGTTTTTGTTCCATGTTGCATGTGCAGCTAACGATGAATTTTTTTCAAGATTTTTGTAAGCTTGTGTTCCTGTTGGTTGACCTTTAGTTAGGCGTTTATGTTCATTCACTCTTATTTTGAGTGATCTGGACGTTTGCCCAAAATATTTAGTTGCACAGTCAGCACAAGATATTTCATAAATCAAATTGTTTTTATCCATCATTTTTATGGGATCTTTCAGTGGATTTATTTTATTTTTGATTAGGTTCGTCGGTTTAAAGGTTGTTCGAATGCCGATATTTTTGAGGTTTCTTTGTATTGCCTCTGATGTACCATTTTTATATGGTATTGCGACTATTTCTATTTATTCTTCCATCTTGTTATTCTCCGGTTTTACCCTCTTTTTTATATTATCTTTTATAAATCCTTTAGGTTAGTTGTTTTCGAGTAGAATTTTGAATAGGACGCTTATTTCTTTACACTGGTCCTCTGGTGTTGTTGTAAGTCTATGTATTCTATCTGCAAGACCTTGTATTGATCCTCGTTTTACCGTGAGTGGATGAGCTGAGTGATAATCAAGGAATCTTCCAGAGTGTATGGTTTTTCTATATATCGTCGTTTTTATGCTACCATCTGTCATTCTTTGTATTTGTCCTTTGGAAACCCAAAAATATTCTTATCACAATATGTTGTCTACAAGTAGCTCTGTGTGACCTGAGTGGTGGTCATCTACTCGCATCAATCAAGAACTGCTTACCACCTCTGTAAAAAATTATATTTGTAAAATCTCAGCGATATTGAAATAAGTAATTCCAACCTTTCCTGTGTTCGGCAATCTGGTCCGAATTTCTTCATGGAAACTAATCGAAATCAACATAACAACAGAGGTTTATATATAAAACGAACATCTCTTGTTTTTAAAAACTTCAGAAAGAAGACAAAGTAATAAGTTTGACAGAGTGCTTCAACTAAACTCTAATCCTAAACATCATAATTTTGAAAATACGTCTAATCATAAAAGTCTAGATACTAACAGTCTGAACAGACATGAAGGTGTGATGTTAGATGACGCATAAGAAATCCTGATTAATAAATAAGAATGCATATGTATCACTACTAATAATACTTGGTCAAAGTTCCCGACTGTCTAAATCTACTTATGGAGACGTTAAGACATTGTTTTACAACTGTTTACCGCACACACACACACATACCCACTGTGTTTAAAGTGTTTAACAAAGGTAGATCAATATTTGTAAGTCTGAGGTCAAATTTTGATCACAACTCGTACAATTTTGTTTTATTTATTATACTTGTTAATGCTTGTTTTATGACTCATGATTGCACAAAGTTTTTTTAAAAACAAGAGATGTTCCTTTTATATATAAATCTCTGTTGTTATGTTAATTTCGATTAATTTCCCTGAAGAAGTTCGGACCAGATTGCCGAACACAGGAAACGTTGAAATTACTCATTTCAATATCGCTGAGATTTTACAAATATAATTTTTTTTTACAAATGTCTACTTCTCAATCGGCGCCCAAATATTTTAGAACTATTCTGTCAAATCTTGACTACAGTTCATTTAATTTACTTCCCACCTCTTTTCTATTTATAAAAAATAATCACATATTAAAAGTGAAAATTCCCAAATTTATTATAAGTAGATCAAATAAATAACATTCAACTAGAACTTACCATTTTTCCAATCATAATCAATTTTGGTCCTAATGCAATATGAAAACTGAATGTATACATTAAACGGATATAGAAAGTGAATAAACTGATTGCAAGACAAATTCTTGATGGATCCAGGATAGGATCTGTTACAATATAGTAACGTTCATGTTCAAAGTTAATATTTTCACCTCCACCCAAACGTAATAGAACAATTAATCGTAATATAAAACCAACAATGTATAAAGCTAAACCAGCACAATCTAATTTATTCCAACCATCTGAAATATACGTTCTAAAACTGATACCGGATAATACAGCCTGAAATATAGAAGAATATAAAGGCAGATTTAATCAAATGTTCCCAGTAATATTTTTGAAAAAATTTTTAACGATTACTTTGTTTTTAGTGAGTCGGTGGCATAGCGATTAGGACGCTCGCCGATCATGCACATGGTCCGGGGTTCGATTCCCGGCCGACGCATTCCTTTACCTCGCTAAGTCAGAAATAATGCTGGTAAAGAAGAAAGGTTGGGCATATGAGGCTGGCTAGCATCCCCATCCTGTAAAAAATAAACACTGCTACAGTAACTTCAAGTCACTACCTTGAAGCCTTATGTTCCACTGGGGAACGTGAAGGAAGAAAAACTTTGCTTTTACTTTATTAATTAATTTACAATTATCACTCTCCCGTGATCCTTCTGTACGTTTTGTCACCCTCTTCACACTTGCTAAATGGATACTCAACTACCTTTCTTCTCACCCGATAACATTTTTTAACTTAACGTGTGAATACATAAAATAATATTAGTATGAAATACAATCAAAATGTTTGAATATAGGCATATTCAGTACAGATTTGAAAGAACTAGTTTTTGAGATGTACATGGAGTGTACAATTTACTTTCAATGAAACAGTCTGCACACAGAAGGATGGTGTTGCAATGGGTTCTCCGTTGAGTCATCTCCTTGCAGACTGTTTTATGACCAGTCCAGGAAAAGGTCAGTTGAAGTCAACAATCCAAAGCTTTCAAACGTTTTAAAGGTATGTAGGTGACACCTTTATTATTTGTAATTATTATTATTTCCTTTTATTCCTAGAGGAACATAGAGCTTCAGCTGCGCCTCTCTATTGCGTTCGGTCCTCTGCTAGTGTTTTCACCTGGCTCCAAGTCTGCCCACATGCTTTCATCTCCTCTTCACATGACCTCCTCCAAGTCACATTTGGACGACCAACTGGTCGCTTCCCTTTTGGGTTCCACCCGAGCAATGGCTTGTCTAGTGATGTCACTTGATGGTTTGTTTCCTCAGAGTATGGCCAATCCATCTCCATTTCTTCCTGCCTATTTGTTACACAATCGGTTCCTGGTTGGTTCGCTCACTGCCAGAGATCCCATTTGGGTGATCTTTTCTGGCCATGCCGGTTGATTGTTTTCTGTTGTAGTTGTTGGCCAGGAATCTTCGTCACCTCTTTTTTATCTATGTTCACTTGAAGTCCTATCTTTGATGCTTCTTCTATCGCCAACTTGTTGCATTTCACTTGCATATCTTCCAGTTTGTGAGAAATCAGACATATATCATCGTTGGCGAAGTCCAGATCCTCCAAGTTTTTCGTAAGGTTCCATATCCAATATACCGCAATCAAGAAAATCATTGGCGATAGTAGGCAGTCTTGTCTTATTCCCATCTTTACTTCGAAGGATTCCATAAGTTTCCCGTTGTGGATTACTTGGCATGCAGCATTGTCGTAATAGTGATTGTAATTTGAATAATATATTAAATGCATTTAATGTTCGTCATCCAGCGATAAAATTCATACTCGAAACGGAGAACGGGTCTAGTCTTCGTTTCCCTTATGTGAACTTATCAAGGAGGATCGATAGAACATTGAAGAGATTAATTTATAAAAAAAACTATCATGGAATGGTCAACTGACAGATTTTTACAACTGGGTACCCATTTGTCGAAAATGAAACCTACTCCAATCGTCTGAAACTAGCATTCGGTACATATGTAACCCTGATACTGTGGAGGATGGGTTGAATCTTTTGAGATAAATCCTAATGGAAAATGGATTTCCACCACATTTTATAGACAATAGTATGCAGTCGAATCCTATGAAATGTGACTTATCATTCGCAACCAAGAAAATACTTTACATGAGCTTGGAGTTCAGTGGTGACTTAGCTTCTGATATCATTAAAAGATGGATCTTACATTTCCTGAAAAGAATATTCCCTGCTGCATCTCTGAGAATAGCCTTTAGTAGTCAACCGTTACTGTTCAATAACCTGAAGGACAAGATCCCGCGGTTGACCAACTCTATGTGCGTTTATCAATTCATCTGGTTGTGTACAGCTGGTTATATTGGTCCTTCAACTCAAGTTTTTTCCATTAGGATGCAAGGACACTATCCTGCATAGTTGCGAAGAGGTGGGAGTGGGGCTATAAGAAGCATGACCATTGAACATCTGGTCGACAATGATCACCCCATCTCTATAGCCTCGAACTTAAAATTCATCTGCAAGGCAAAAAGTAATTAACCAAAATCACTACTTATCCAACTCATCTGTATTGCTGTAGCTCTGGCTATCGAAACAGAAAAGCCAGATCTTTGTATACAGAACAAGTTCGTTCAACCCCTCCAACTTTCATGGCCTTAATCCTTATATGCTAAAGTATGGTAATCCCGAATCGTATTCTGACTCTATCTACTTTTCGTTTTTAGAAGTTAATTGGTGGATTTCAATGCTAATCACCATCCACTAGTTAACTCCTAATGACATGCCCAGACATAGTCGAAGCATCTACACAAGAAGCCGACATGTCAACCTGAGCTGGAGCACTTCGGTTCAATCAATCAATGGGAAAATCTAAAAGTGAATTACATATTTTTCAGTTTGTTTATTCAATTTGTATACTCTTCCTTTATTACGTCAATTGTTGCTATTACTTTTCTCAATTTGAATTGTCACCGGTATTATTTTACTCGTTCCACTTGTCATTCTAAATCAACTCTCTTTTTCACCCTTGAATTCTATCTTATCAAAATTCATAAAATATTAGGTAACATTTCTATTTTTATTCTATTTGCCAACTAATCCCATAATTTTACACCTCTTTCAAGTTCTCTACATTGTATGAACTGTCATTTGACATGGAACTATAGTTATAATCACAAATATTCAAATTGCAGCCCATACTGATGTTGTTATTTTATGTTTTCACACCTCTGGTTCGATTCCCTCACCGGATATGATTTGTACATATATATGTACAGCTTGATAATAAATTTGTTGAAAGAGTCTGTTTCCTAAATCCCTTGTTCTGATTTTCTATATGTCCCAATGGGAATTTTCGATGAATTTTGAACACATCAAATTTCTAACACTTTCTTCCATTGTGCTGTTGAATATTACGTAATTTGTAACTTTTATATTTACTTCCGAAGCAACGTCTGAGTAATTATATCAATTATGTCAATCCCGTATTAATCAAAAATAGACCACTATACTACAGAAAAAATTTATCAGCAGAGAAGAAAGAAACCTCACACACAAAGGGTAAAAGTTCAAGTCAAAGAAACAGTCAGTTCCAATAGAAGTAGACTAGAAGGTGTGAAAACACACAAAAACAACCAATCACTTCCAAGGTCACCCACCTGGAGAGATGATTAGTAAACTCGTGGAGAAATCTAAAAGCTCACTTCAACAAATTGAAGTATGCGCTGAAAATGTCACCTAGTAGGATGACGAAAGCTCCGCAAATTGCACAGCCTCTGAAGATGATTTCGTCGATAAAGAAAATTTTCTCCAATGAAATATCTTTATTTTCTTCATGACTTAATGGGTATCTCCAAGGAATTTATTGAGTATTTCAACGTCTAACCACTTGTATCTAATATAGTTAGTTTCATAATAGGGTTAAAAGTAGGCATGGATTCTGAGGACCTGGCTAAAATAAAACTTATTTTCGCATATTTGAAAAATTTCAAATTGACGGTTGAAATCTCTCGTTAGCCTGTCATATACACGTACAAGATTTCGACTACTCCAGTGAAGTTGGTTACATTGAGCATATATATAGTCTGGCAATTTCATCATCGTATTTCCGAACATCAGCCAAGATGGTTAAGCAACGGACAAACAACATCCATTCGTAGCTCCAATTTAAAACACCTTTTAGATACTGAGCATAAGATCGATGCTAATGAAGCTATTTATCGCATTCCAACCAACATTAATATTACTACACTAGTTCGTCCTCTACATACAACTGAGGTCATGGGAATCCATTTGAAGAAGTCAAACCCGAGAGTTCAGAAGAAATTCATGCACCTACTTTCTTACCTTGGCTACTGTTATATGAATCTTATAAACTGATAACTCCCCCCTAGCGTTGAGCCTTCTGTTACGCATACCTAGCCGTAGTCTTCCTCGATGGTCAATGTTAGAAGCTGACACAGGGTCAGATTTGAAAAGAGTTAGTGGTGGTCAAAGGTGAACTTCGCGTCAGTCAATAAAATCCATAACAGTTAGTTTTAGCCATACTGGGACGTGCGGACTGGCTTTCTGGTTGGGGTTCTCAGGATGGTTGGAACCACTTGCTGGAGACTATGTCTCTAAATAGTTCTCCTTGGATGGCTCAGGTGCATTAACTGTGTGATCTATCGTACTTAATACAACTTGATCACAGATTGATATCACTTAGAGAACCATTGAAAACCAGTACTGGAGTACTGGACAGCTATTTCATCTTAGTTTAGGAATCATCGGCAGCACGCACCAACCTCCGGAGTTCGAACCCAGAACCTTCCGCTTACAAGGTAAGCTCGTTGACGACCATTCAGCTACTGGAACCCGATTCAATGGCTCATGAATTCTGACTTCTACCAGTTTTGGATTTAGCGCAACCACCAACCAATGTCATCGGTGAGATATCCATCCATGATCAACTCGTCAAAACAAATCTAATCCTTATAAACCAACTGTTGAAAAGTAATCATTTCTATCCTTTAACTTTTTTATTGATTTTCTTCTCGAAAATGACTCTGGTGCTCTCCAGCAACTGGTTACATGAGGAATTTACCTGAGGTTCTAGTTAGAATATGTGACCAGTGGGGTTCATCTAGTCTGGAGTGAAGAAAAATACTCGCGGATGATGTAGGCTAGTGATTAGGCTAAAATCATGAATTGGTAGAAGTCGAAATCCACGTGCTCGCCACTGAGTTGGATCCTAATGACTAAATATTCTACGGTCTCACCTAGTGATATGAAGGTTCAAATCCCTATGGTAGTGTAACAACAGAAGACAAGGGCCAGGCAACAGATCGTTTTATTATGAAAATCAACACGTATTTATACATATTTCACATACATTATTATAGCTTATGCAAGTAGACAAGCGCAGTCATCTGATTGGTTGTTTAACAGAAGTTAGGCAGACAAACGCAGGCTTCTGATTGGTTGTATCGGGATTCCTCAACAAATAGAGTTCTCTATCTGCGAATAATATTTTGCCACGTTAACTTTGCTGTGATTGGTTGTTGAATAAGCCTTGTACATATTCTCTCACGGCCTGCTCTCACCACAGTAGGTGTATACTGGTGATGAGTCCCAAACTAGGACAAAACAGATGTCCAGTAAAGCCTGACTTTCAATGTTTCTCTAACTGATATTGACGCTTGAAAATGTACACAGTGAAAAATTAATTGAAATTCCTGCACGGCTCACTTTTTTCCCTTCATGTCCCCAGTGGGCTTCAAGCTAGTGGTGGCTTGACGTTTCTGTAGCAGTGTTTATTTTTATAGGATGAGATTGATAGCCTCATGCCCAACCTTCCCTCTTTACCAGGATTATTTCTGGCTGCTTAAATCTTGGGCTATCAATTACCTTAAACATTACTTAGCGAGGTAAAAGAGTACGTCGGCCGGGAATCGAACCCCGAACCACGGTTGGCTAGCGTCCTAACCACTGTGCATGGCTCATAATTTAATAAACATTTCAACTTAATAAAATGAACAGAGAACGTTCAGTATACAATTGGTGGATGGTGGCTAGCAGGTTTCAGGTTATATTTGAATGATCCAGGTCGAATAACATGAATGTGGTCCCGAACATGGATGCACATTTTCCTGCGCCAATATTTTCTTTGTTACTTTCGAAAATAGTTTTTTTGTTTCCTGTTCTATCTTTTCCCCTTGGCATCAATTCATATCTAACAACGTGTATTCCTCACTAACTGTACAATTCAAACTTTGACTTCTTGGATGTTTGCATTTCCAGATTGATGATTTAATGGAGTAAACATAAATTATTTTTAGTTTTCTCCGAGGTGTTTTGTATTTCCCGCTGACTGATTCTCATATTATAACGAAATGCCTAACCTTATAGTAGTAACAATGCCTCGATGGTACCTGCAGGTTCATATGATGTTATTCGGTTAATGATGGCTAACGATGGAATCCAAGGTGTTTGAGATTCATCATCTGACGTATGCCAAACAGGTTGAAATGTGCTGCATATATTCTGAATTCCACTGCTAGACACAATCAACCAAATGGGGTTGTTTTTGTGATTTATTTTTGACTGTATGGAGGATTTAATCATGAGCTGACATCAGTTAGAGAACCACTGGAAAACCGGCTGGGAGTACTGGACAGCTGTTTCGTCCTAGTTTGGGACTCCTCAGCAGTACGCACCCACCGGGGCTCGAACCCAGGACCTTCTGGTTACAAGACCATTGAGCCACTGGGACCCGATCCAATGGTCCTTGAATTCTAACTTCTGCCAGTTCACGACATAGCGCGACCACTTCGCAATGTCTTCTTCGATGAGTTACTGCCTCATCTTCGACCTGCTGTACCCTACTGGTCACGGCTTCCCACTAGAACCCCAGGTTAACTGCCTGAATAGGGCCAGTCACTAGTGAGCATCAGATTAATTTTCAAGTGTTGGTTTTGTAGGGATTTGGTTTGATTGTATGGAGGATTTTATCATGAGCTGACATCAGTTAGAGAACCACTGGAATCAAACCAATCAATTAATCAAACCAAATCCCTACAAAACCAACACTTGAAAATTTATTTTTGAGATTTGCATTCAACTCTCCTTTCAACACTTTTGCTTTTTCGTTGATAACAAGTATCACAACAAGTTAAAATTGGATTACATACTTATTTATCCTGCATATCTAATCCTACGAATAATATCTTTGATAGAGTTCAATAAAGCTATTGTTTAAAAAAGGGACATAATTTTGACCAAAAAGAGAAATACAAAGATGTTTTCAGATAAAACTGAATCAATCTAATATAAATGTAAATCCAAAAGTCTTCAGATTTCACTTAGATATGATATCATAGATACATTGGGATATGGATTCATTTCTATACTGGTATCATCATTTTTATACATTTTAAATTATTGCATAATAGTAAAACTACTTCTGGTATCACTTGTTCATGCTCATATGAATACAAAGAGGCAAGTGTAAACGCGCGCGCCCGCACACAAACACACACATGAAGTTGTAGATAAACAAGATATTTATGCTATGCTATGAGTAAACCGTTTTTCGCCTTTGTCCTTCATCCTGCCTACACTGTATCAGTAAATATCAAGTCTGAATATGTAGACAGATAAAACGGATCATAATATCTTGAGAATACATGGAGATTTAAATTGTTGGAGAGAAAGAAAATGATAGAAAAACGAAAGTATGATTTGTAAAAATAAAAACATGAATTTTATTCATACACACTGAACTTACCCAAGCAATCTTTATTTATTCATGACATTGTGGCATAGGAGGTGAACAACCAGTTTTGTGTATGTCGGTATAATTCGTCGAAAGAAATCGAAATGGACAGGCAAATAAAGAAAATAAACAAGAAAATTACAATAATAATAACGTTAATAATAATATTACTATTTGAGTATTTATAATAATAATAGTAAATAAGCGAAATCCTTTCTTTTCCGAAGGAAGGCGACAAGCAGTATTCAGTGAATTTATAAATTTAGGTAGAAGGACTCTTCAGCTGAATACTCCTTTACAAACATTGTTATCTATACAATTTTGTCATAAGGTTAAATATATGCAAGTACATGAACATTTTGACAGCGAGAAACCTTTGTAAGTGTAAGCCTAGTTTAGAACTCTTTGGTAGTGCTCACCAACTGGGTTTCGGACTTATGACTTTCTGGTTAGAAGGCAAGATTGTATACCATTCAGCCAGTCGAACCCGACGGTGTGGCCTGTGAAATCCAGCTCCTACTAAATCGTGATTTGTAGCGTGAGCACCAACTAGAGACATCGGTAAGTTTGCCTTGTAATTGGAAGGTCCTAGATTAGAAACCTAGTGGGTGAATACTGCCTATGAGTTCCAGCTGTTTTCAATGGTACTTTAACTGATACCAATCCGTAGTGAAACTCGAAAAACAAATCATTTCTTGAAAACTAAGCTTAACATAGGTAGACCGTAGAGGACCAAGGAACAAGAATAAAGATGTCTGATCTGAGGTCATAAGATAGTTTTAACCCTCCTCACCGAGATTAATACTCAACCAGGATTTTCCGATTTGCATATATCCTGAGAAAAATAATAGTACATAACAGAAAAAAATCATTTTGGAGAGAAAGAAAGAGGGAAGGAAAATTTCGAAGGTTAAAAGAAAGTATGCTATTAAGGTGACACAGGGGTTAAGACGCTCACCGACCATGCACATGGTCCAGGGTTTGATCACCAGGCAACGCACTTCTTTACCTCACTAAACCAGTAATAAGACTGGTAAAGAGAAAAGGTTAGGCATACGGCTAGCAAACCAACCCTGTAAAAATAAACACTTCTACAGAAACTTCAAGCCCCTAGCTTGAAGCTCTATGTTCCACTGGGGAATGTGAAGAAAATCAAAAAACTAATGTAGATTTAAGGTGATTACCATCGCCTTTTGTGTACAAAGATGTGGCTTCTTTAATCTGCTTGCATAGGTTTCAGTCAAACCAATAGGCTTTCTATTAACTATCTTATCAATAATTTAATTGGTGGATGGTGACTAGCAGTGGAATCGAGGATGCGCATTTCGTCCTATTTGGGACTCGTCAGTTGGATGTACCTGGATTTCTCAGTGAGTGATAACGTTCCCACCGAGGCTCGAACCCAACCTGAGACCGAGCACTTCGGTACAATCAATTGACGGGAAAATCAAAAATTCAATTCAATAATCTTATCAATAACCATAAAGCTTTTACTCAATATCAACTTATGACCACAGTCCAATAAATATGTGGTGTGATTGAGCACCTTGGGATACCATCATGAGTATTATATAATAAATAACCCATACAATAGTTAATATGAACTCTCTTAAATCATCAGTGGTAATATACTTTACAGATAAGTTATTCACAAAAACCCATCTTATGAGTTCAACTCAGTTTATTAGTCTACTGAACTAAATTAAACTAGTTTCACAGTTTAGATATATCACATTCAAACGTGTTTCTTGGACTATTCATAGCTGAATACCAAAGTTGGGTAAACAAAGAATTTCAGCCTCCATATATATGAATTTTATAGTTTCTCGTTATATGATTTCCATGAACAGGAATGGTCGCTCTCCATTAGCAATGTCAGCTCGTAGTGCAAATGTTTTAATGACGCCTCGGGTTTAAATTGTTGTTATTTGGTGTTTTTACTGAGTTTGGATTCTTAAACCAAACTGAAGCTCGCTTCTGTCAAGCATCACATCTCTCTTAAATATTCGTTTCTATTACTTTCGCTGAAGTATTCAAATGATGAATGAAGTCATTTCTGAAAAAATGGAAACATTTTTTGCCTCAAGTGTATAGTTCCAGTGTGATTATTTCCTCAGGGCATGGTGGCTAAGCTAAATAACATCTTCATATGTAAATTATCTGACATTTGTTATTCTCTTTATCAAATCTTCAACTTCATAATGAAGTTAACCTTGAAAATGTTGTCTAGAAGGATAATGAATCATTCATCGTCATTAAATCATCCAACTCAGAGAAGATGAAAACAACAGATTGTAATGGCGCACGATGAAATCCTGTAATTAATCAATCAAATCCCTACAAACCAATACTTGAAAATTAATCTGATGCTCACTAATGAATGGCCCTATTCAGGCAGTTACCTGAGGGCACCTGTGACGAGTAGGGTACAGCAGGTTGAAGATGAGGCAGTAAAACACCGAAGAGGGCATTGTGAAGTGGTCTTGCTATTTCGTGACTTGGCAGAAGTTGAAATTCACTGACTGGCTGTTGGATTGGGTGCTGGTGGCGAGCTAGCTCTCTTTGTAAGCAGAAGGTCCTGGGTTCCAACACTGGTGGGTGCGTACTGATGAAAAGTCCCAAACCAGGACGAAACTCCCTATAGGTTTTCCAATGGTTCCCTAATTAATGTCAGCTCACGATGAAATCCTGTAACTAATCAATCAAATCCCTACAAACCAGTACCTGGATGTAATGAACAAATTGTTTGGAAAAACTCTCTTGGCCGATCTATGTATAATATTTATACTTATTGAGACGTTTCGATTATTTTTGTATTTATTATACGTTTTCCTCCAGATTGTGTGTCATTCATCTGACGTTTCGCATACCACAGGTTGATTCAGACCTTTATTTGCAATGCTACTGTTTGATGTTGTGTGTAAATTGACAACATGTTTTTTAACAGTATGGTTTTATTTGAGTAAATGAAGGTGATTCTGACACGGAACTGTCTGAGGGAAGCATTTATGTATGATTCCTGTGGACAGAGCTTTCAATCCCACCTCATTGCGAATATTCTCCTTCACGATTCAAAGGTACTTTATACAGTTGAACTTTGATTAACTAATTTTGTCTTATAGTACTTGTTTTGTATTTAGAAACCTACATTGCGTGTATAGCTATCTGCCTCACAGCATTGTTGAGGTAAATTTGAGTTCTAATGTTATTGCTGTTTAGTAGAACCTCCAAAATACTGATGAATAATCGTCTTTTCACTGCCTCTAGAAAGTTTCGTCGTAGCGCTTGTGTTAACGACGTTTTGTAGGGTATACTGTAGAACGTAAAGATGGGTTTCTTGGGTTCAGACCATAACCGAATAAATTTGATCGTTACACAGACGAAGGTCGTTTCTCTTTTGAGTGGTATCGAATCCAGTTAGATTTGTTTCTAGACGTTTGTTTTTCTTACCCCAACAATCATTCCTTGTTTTGATTTTATTACGTCACCCCGTGAGACGTAATCATGTATTCACCTATAGTAGATAACCTTTCGACTGCAACAAAATAGACGAGGAGGAATGTTTTCTGCCTTCAGCAGTCATCTTTATTAGACAGTGAGTAATTCTTGTTGTTTTCTATGCAGTGACATGCTTTTACTGTAAAATCTAAAGCGTCAGGAATCAATTTCCTCCGGAATGTTAACTGTAAAACTACAGAAAAGACACAAGTGCAGAACATATCAACTCTTCAGTACTGCCCAGCTTTAAGTATTCTTGTCCAGCTCATTCCTTCTCCTTCACTGTCACCTAAATCATTAAAACCGGCATAATGAAGTCTTGAAAGTGTTTGATCAAATGAGAAATTAAGGGTACTCTAAGCAGAAAAGCTAATTAATCTTCTTCTCTTTTACCTGTTTAATTTCTTCTATGAACAGTGTGATCACCCATGCAATGACAATATATTCAACAACTGTTATATTGATCCTGAAATCTACCAGTAAAAGATAACTGAACAAGATGAGAAATGTCATATAAGAAAGCTGAAAAATAAAAGAAAACGAAAAAGACATAACGAAATGAGATAGACAGACAAGTAACATAATAATAATGTCTAATTTTTGAATGTTAAGTATGGCAACTTCTCTGAGTAAATAACCTTTGACACGGGTCATAAGGTGGATGTCGCAAGATCGTTCAAACTTATCAATAGTCAAAAGAATTGAATTCTCCTTAAGTTTGCCGAAGCAGTCTATATCAAGCACTTGAAGTGGTTATCAGTCCTTCCTTGCCCATCCTCTCTCTAATCCGCTTACATAATGCCAAAAGTTTCTATTGGATATGATTATTATTGTTTGGGATTAAGTGTCTGTTACTATATATACATATATTATTACTGTAAGCGTATATTGATTGATTTGTGTTTAAAAATGAACTCTGTGCAAGTATGCTAAAATTGTTCCTGCAGATAAACATGAAAATGTCTTTGAGCTGTAAGCAGTTGATAAATGATGGTACCATTTTTATTCTGCACAATCTGTTATTTTTGCTTTATTCAAATTAAATAATCTAACCTTGGAATTTTATCCTTAGATTTAGCCATCATAATTTCAAGTTTAGAGAAAAGTAACACTGCCAAGAGGATATTTTACACACTACACTTTCTAATGTAAAAAGACTACTGGACCACGAGAGGCACCTCTTATGCGACAAGTTGAATCTAGAACCATTTATCTATATTCGTGACTTCTTGGAGATAAATCATCTGGTTCAGTCGTAGAATACTCGCCAATCACGCCTTACGTGATTCGGGATTTGATCCCAGCTGATGTGCTTCACTCAGCACTGTGGGACTGTAAGGCGTGAGGTTAGCAACACCACCTCTTAATAAAAAACGATAAACACCACGGCTATGCAAACTTGAAGGTCGAAGCTTGAAGCTTTATGTTCCACTTAGAACTTAAAGGATTAAAATTTAAATAAACAAATAAAAAAAATCAGAACTGAATCGGTTAGCTTCAATTCGGTTTCATGATCTGCTTAAATGGAAGACCAAGTAATCATGACTGACAAATCTCATATAAAATGGAATGCGCTTCCAGGAATCTACTTTCGTCTAACAACCAGCAAAAGAAGTAATTTTAAGATATTAATTCTGATAATATTGATGCGTTCATTTAACCAGCCAATTTACCAAAGTGGGATTGACCAGTTCAGTTCACATATACCTCCGGAACCGCCGGTGGTTCAGCGGTAAGGCATCAGCTGACCAAGGACGTGGTCTAGGGCTAGTTTCATAGCTGGTGCACATCTTAACCTCCCTCAGCCAGTTAAAGTCCCGACAAAAAATAAGGTTGGGCATGAGGCCAGCAACCTCACCCCGTAAAAATGCCACTCCTACTGTAAGCGCAATATCGCTTGAAATTAAGTCACGCGTAGATAAAGGCTATCCCGGTCCAGAACAAACAAGAAGCCGGTCACTGTTTCTATGGTACTATTAATAAACAAATCAGTAATTATATATACAACAAACCTTAACGGTTTCAAGAGTACAAAGCACAACGCTTAACAGAAAGCAAGGTACCGCTATCAGAGCGGAATACCGTTAAAGCCAAAATTGCGAACTAGCCGGAACCAGACACGACCGTTCAGGTAAGAAGTCAGTAGAAGAATGAACCCAAGTAAGGCATGGCATAAAACAGAGAGCGGTTAAGAGTGATAGACCGAGCATAGGCACAAAGATAGAATTTAATTGGCTACTTAACCAGGTAGGAAAATACAGATGAAAATCAATAAATAAGATAAACTCGACAGAATAGTACAAAGTTAGACATGGGTCAGCAAAAATAACAGTTCACAAGATACTCTGATTCGGCCATGAGTTCAATTGTCTGACTAAACGGATCGATGTAAAAACACACACATAGTTCATTAAACAAGGGGGGTGGATAGACACGTTAGGCATGGATAATTGGGTTGCAACAACGCTAGGCTGATCCGTAACAGGTTGACTTGATTCAAGGATGGGAATAAAATTGATCTTACACCTACTGGAAACTCAAACCTAAAGCTTGTCGCCCTACAACAAACATGAATGGGTAATAGGTGCTCCTGTTGCTGACATGAAATCACCTCGGTTACTACTTTGTTCCTTTCACACCTTTACTCAGCTTTTGGTGTTCAATCTTTTATTTGGAATTACTTTTTGTTTGAGTGGTATTGGTGGTCACTTCAAACTTGTCTACACTGTAAACACTTATAAAATATAACATTTGTTGTCGTTAAAGTAATGGTCACTTATGCGGTGGATCTAATTTTACGTAGAATAACAACTGATTAGTAGTTACAGGCTGGTGAAATAAATAGTATTTGTGTAACAAACGTGGTGTCAGCTGAATTCAATTACAAAATATTGTGAAATGCAAGTCGGTGAGGATGGCGATCAGTCTTAAAAGATTCCCACAATGAGGGGAATGAAGACTGACATTTTAGTTGAAGGTTATAAAAGGTGTCAGGTGAGTGGCTAGCACAAAGCAGAATTCATTGTGGAGGAAATAGTTACACTGAAGTGGAAAATTCATTATGAAGTAATCAATGTGTGAAATGTAACATGTAGAGGCATATATTGCGAAAAGGGATACTGTCACTAGTGATAATTTCGAAAAGTATAAATGGAATAAAAACACAGTTTTTGTTCAGCGAAGAAATTTCTTTTCAACGACTTCATTTTCAAGCTGTACAGTCGTATTTATAATACAGAAAAAAGTTATTAAGTGGCACTAAATAATTGCTCAGTCAATGTACGTATATATGTGATAAAAGTTATAAGGGGTAGAGTTGAAGTGGATAAATTGCAAAAATATTAAAGATTGTTCTATAACAAAAATGTCAAGTATTGTCTAAAAATTTTAAAAATTAGGAGTACGATTACGATAAGAATGAAGATGTGAAGTGAAGTGGAAAGAATTCAAGTGGTAAAATAAAATAAAAACTAGAAAGAAAATTATTATGACCAAGGTAAAGAAAGGGGTTTGAAAAAACGCTTTCGAACACATAATTTAGGTTTCTGTTCATGTATAGCTAAAGCTTCGGCTATGCATAAGTGAAGAAAACGTAAACATTTGGATCGATTGGATTTTGCCATGTATATAACTTTGAGCGATGAATCACGTGGGGCTAAATGACCAGACTCTAACAGGTGATCACAAATAGACGACTTTGCAGTTCTACGTTCGCCTTTCATTAACCAAACCGGATAGTGTTCAGCTACACGTTTTCGGAGATTACGCTTACAACGTCCAATATAAACAGCTCCACAAGAGCAAGTAAAAGAGTAAATGCACATAGATGTGGACAAAAGCGATAATCTATCCATGACGCATTGTCTGATCATATTTCGGCTGGTAAAAACTAGTTGCAGGTCAGCTACAGGAAAAGTGCGTTTAACACATTTAGATAAACGATTTTTAATCAATTCTGAAATGGTGTCACCTTTGAATGCAAGACTCATAAACAGCTTTTTCTTTGGTACTGTGACTTGTCTCGGGGCGGATTCTTTCTTGATGTTACGTTCAATGAACCTTGTGGGATAACCATTGTTACGGAGATTTGATCGAAAGTTATCTAGTTCCCTATCGATTGTCTCTGCAGAGAAGATTTTACGAATTCTGGAGAATTGGAATATTCGATAGTATTGAAAGAATCGTATTTATTATTATTCGTCATAATTTATACCCTTTATTCAAACATTGTTTCAATACTGTTGAATGTTCCATTTATACAATTCGAACTTATTATTTAGTGATATTAATGCTTGCCACTGAATGTGTGTTTATAAATTCACCTACTCGTGTGGAGCTAGTTATATTGGCTGCAAAAAGCGCACGCTTTCCAAACGCATCTGTAACCATTATCTGGCATGGTTAGCAAAGGGACAATGTAAGACAATTACTACCTCAATTCTCGAGTACTTGGTGAACTCAAGCCACACAGTTCCACTAGGGTCGTCTTTCAAGATCATCTACAGGGTGAAGCCAAATGGTACAAAGGGCGTCAGGTTTCGGCTATTGTGTATAGCGAAGGCGCTGGAAATTCGTCAATACAACCCTGAATTCTGCATACAGAGAAAGTTTGTCCAGTCTCTTATTCTACCTTGGTCTTAACCTCTTCACTAATCGTTCCCTGTAAAAAAATTTGATTTTTCTTTTCTTTTTTAATTTTACTTTTAGTCTGCTTTTGCTTTAATAATTAATTCACTATTATCACTCTGATATGCTCCTTCTGTAAGTTTCACATTCTCTTCACACTTGTTAAATTGACACTCAACTACCACCTTTATTCTCGCTCAGGGGCAATTTTAACCTTATCAAATTTCTATCTTTGTGCCGTTGAAGACCACGTAAGTTATTGAATTCATTGGAACATGCTGACCGGTCTCTGTAGGCGTATGAGCTACTCAAACAAAGTTATTACTTTCAAGTATGGGGATACTGAACAGATGTTTCGTCAACACCGTTTGGAAATCTTCATCAGTACGCACGCACCGAGGCTGGAACACAGGACCTTATGCCTAGAAGGCGAGCTCGTAGACCATTAAGCCAATGAGACCCGACACTATGGCAAAGGTTTTAAAATAATTCTCTAAATGACGTTAGCTCCTCTAACCAATCAAAATTAATTATTATTTATTTTATTCCTTTGCGTTCTCAATGGAATGTAGGGCTTCAAGCTAGAGCTTTGAAGTTCCTGTAGAAGTGTTTGATTTTACAGGATAGGGTTGCTAGCCACATGCTAACTTTCCCTGTTTATCAGTAGTATTACTGGTTTAGCGAGGTAAAGGGGTTCGTCGTCCAGGAATAGAACCTCTGTGGTTGACTTGCTTTCTACTGCCGCGTTACCAACAGGAAGTCATTACCGATTTATGTCCTTCTTTACAAGTCTTATTACTAGCTTAGCCAGTTGAAGGAGTGAGTCGGCTGGGGATCAAACCCCGAACCACCTGTGTAGTTGACGGGGATTCTACCACTATGCCACCGATATACCATTCAAACGAATGCTAAGAAGATACTTTGAAATTCATTTTGATACCTTACTCCTGATGGTGACTAGAAATTCCCCATTGTATATAACCTTTGCGTTTTAAGCCTAGACATAAATAAGGTTCATGGTTTCAATGAGAGCCGCATTACATGCTGTAATACACAGAGAGACACACGTAACCGATGAATATAGAAAGTAGTTTACTCTAATAGTCACAGGTTTTTTAAAAAGCTTATGTGTAACGAAGGCTGAATATCTCCATCCGGTAAAATCAGTAATCAGAAATATCAAGTATTACTCACTGAGAAAATTTGTGTTTTCATTAGCCGTCTAGAGCACAATTTTGTTACTCAGAGATTTACTGTACTAACTGTTAAATAGTAGTTAGATGAGATAGAGCAAACTTATGATAGGTGCCATCACGAATACATTATCGAAAAAGCGTAAATATGACAAGAGAATATTTCAACTTACAGTATTATACACAAAACGAATAACAGGTGCCATATAGAAATCACGAATCTGTGAAATAAATTCTAATGTTCTAACTTTAAGTGTTTTACGTACACTGAAAATGAAATGAAAAGAAAGCAAACGAATTACATCGAAACTACTTAAATTGTTTGTTGAGTAGTAAAGATAAGAACAAAACTATGTGTTTAGGAGTTTTTGCAACTTTCTTATCCTCAAGACTTATTTGAACGCCCTGTATCCTTATCCCAGTTAAGTTAAGATCAGTAATTAGAGACTACTCCAAATATCTGTCAGAAGAATATTGTATTGAACTATATGCACTATAGATGGACAAATAAACTGTCTCTTTCTTTCTCTCGACTGCTATTCCAATCAACCTCAGCTTTCAAGGGTCGTTGTTTATTAAAAATCCAAATAGGTGTGTACTATTTCTTATCAACTACAGGAAACAGCACATATGAGGATATCAAAGCCAGTTAGGATCGGAAATGCAAGGCACATCTTCACCATTGAGAAATCAGTTTCCAAATCTTCTGCTCCCAGAACAGAGAACAAGTATCAGATTTCAAGCACCAATGTTAAGTTAGCCACTTCTTCTATACGGATTAGAGTCTTTGCCGGCGCGTTACGGAAAGTATTTCCAACAGGCTACTACGGACTTTTGTCTCCAAACTGAAGACAAAATGACCAGCAAGAAGGAGGATTGAGAAGCAAGGAACCTTGAGAACAAACCTCTGAAAGTCTATTGTTTAGCAAATATTTCGATAATCGAGATGAAATGAACATATGACACTGAGAAGACCGTTGGTTGACATCACGTGCTAGGCCACCTCCCGGATGGAAACCTGATAGAAAGTGGCATACTGGGCTTGTGTCGTGAGGGTGACCTGGAGGAGGTTGTGTGGCGAGGTGAAGATGAGGGACTATGGGCTAAAGATGACCTCAAGGAATAGGAAAAATCGTGGGTATGCTGTTGAAGCCTTATGTTCCACTTGGAACCCAAGGGTGCAATAGTAATTACTTATTATAACCGTCTTTTGCAACTAATTACCTCTTATTTTCATCATTAATTACAATAATCCCACAGACTCTTAATGGGTCTACCACATTATAAATCCTCTACACCATTATCTGCCCATCATTTGTCGTCTATATCACCACTTTTACAAAAACGTGGAGATGTCTGAAAAATGTAGTAACTCTCTGATTTGAATTTCTAGGAATAAACTGGCTGTGCATTGATCACTTCACTTATTTACCCAGGTAAATCATCAACCAGTGGAGTATGTTCCTTCTTATAGAGTACTCATCTGGTATTCATCAGTCTACATTATATATATATCGCATTGACAAAAATCAATATCGATGGGACATTGGATCCAATCCCTGCAGCTGATTAGTCAATGAGATCGCTTTTTAAGCTAGACATCTTGCGTTTGATCTCTCGTGAGGTTAGGGATGAATAAAAGCAAAGAATCCCAAAACAGAGACGAAACATTCGTCTAGAAGTGACTAGTTTCCGATGATCCTCTAACTGAAGTCAGTTCGTCGTCAGTCTTGAAAACAACTCTGATTTATGGAAAATGAACACAGGCTTCAAAAATTAAAAGAGAAATGTCTATTTCAAGTGATTTTATTAGGCCTTTAACTGTGTTTCTACAAAGTAAAGTACAAATATCAAATTCATTAATGACTTGTTAACCTACCCTTTTTTACCAGCATCTTCTACATTTGTATATGTTGAAATATGATCATGTGCAGATGCATGATGTTCAGACGCAACAACTGATTCCTAGAAGTCAGTGAAAAATACACTTTGTTATATATATAATTAAATAAACATATAGAAGACATGAAGATAACCTACCAAGGTGAACATTCCCTAAGGTGAATACACTCTTCTGAATAAAGCCTGATTCAACACCGTATTATTGGTGCAAGTATGAAGTTTTCAGCATGTGATACCAGAAGTCCAAATTTTGTAGGCCGACCAATTGATATCAGGTGTGCGTCTGCATGGGATCGAATCCCGGGCCATGTGCATGGTCGGCGAGAGTCTAATCCACTGTGCCACTGATGTACTACACTAATGACTTGTAGATCAGCTGAATGATACTGGTGTTGTTGTGTTCTCTTAACTGTACACTTTAACTGGTAAGCTTTCATTATCCTTATAGACAACATATCTAGTGCCAGCTTTAGAATAGAGAAGCCTACAATAACACCAGTATTACTTACACTATCTTCACTAGTGCATTATTATTATTATTCTTCCGTTGGGTTCCTAGTAGAATATAGGGTTTCAACTGCACGTCTCCACTTGCTTCTGTCTTCCTTCTGCTGTACTTTTCACCTGCACCCATGTTAGTCCATACTGTTTCAACTCCTCTTCACTCGACCTCTTCCATGTCACCCTTGCACTGACGTCTCACTCGCCACTTCCCTTTCGGGTTCCACTCAAGCAATGGCCTGACGCGCGATGTCACCCAGCGGCCTCCTCAGCGAGTGACCGTCCAATCTATCTGGACATTCTCCTGCATATTTGTTGGTTTGTTTGGTTTTTGCTTTGTTTGTTCCCATAGTTTCTTGTTGGTAATTCCTTCCGGCCCGGCCGTCTGATCTTCAGTATAGAGCCAGCGAAGACAGTTGTTGATAAAGGTCTGCAATAGCCTGTTGGAAATATTCTTTGTGACCCACCCGCCAAGTTTCTGATCCGTATAGAAGAACTGACTTGACGGTTGTATTGAAAATCCGACCGAATTTTGTTGTTGATGCCGACTGAGTGATGAAGATTTCCAAATTGGTTGTTTCAGGTTGATGAATGTGTGTGTGTTTCCCACCTTCCCGATTCTCTCTCGATTTGACATCCTCGTCTGTTCCGACTTCGTGTAGTTGAGACAATGCTCCCTAGATAAGTGAGTGGATGAAGTAACCTCTTTCAAATCCCTCCCGTTGATGGTGATCGACGTTGGATGTTGTTGCTGTTGTTGTTGGTTGATTATTTTCACAACCTCCGTCTTGTCTATGCTCACTTGGAGTCCTGTCTTCACCGACTGCTTCTTCAACCAGTTTATCGGTCGGTTTTCGGTTGTAAGTCTTCGATTTTGTGTGACATCAAACATAAATCATCCACGCGCGAAATCCTGGTCTTCTAGGTTCTTCGCGTCGGTCCAGGATATCCCTGTCTTCTCGTTTCCCACTGCCTGACGCTTAATCCAGTCCACGCCAACAAGGAATATCATTGGTGATAATAAGCACCCTTGTCTGACTCCTGTGTTTACTCCAAACGCCTCGCTGAGTTTTCCGTTGTGGATCACTTGACATGTGCATACATTTCATTAATTCACTACTAAACACGATTGTCGGTGACTTTCTGACTCAGCGATACCAGTAAGTTAATGGACCGTTGAATTTCAGAATTAAACGTGGATATCGTTTTGAAGCGAATTTATTAAAATCACAATGAATGATCTGTTAGATCCCACAAATAGCAATATCGCAGTGTGCTTATACTGATCTAATTCCTCGAATGGGATCGAAGTGGGTACAAAACCGGTGAAAAAAGCAGTCTGGTGTTTTAGTCACCTACATCTTGCTGTCAGGCTCTACTAGATGGCATGAGTAGTTTGCGACTTCAGTAGTATATAACACCATCTTAATCGATCTAAGAGTGTGTGGCTTCTGAAGGCAGTCAATTACAATCAAGATGGCTAAGAGAGATCGATTATTTCTCATATACCTTATAAATTATATGTGCTTATTTTCTTTTAAAGTTCTTCTTCCATGAAAAACACTCTGGAAAGTATGAGAACGAACAATTCATTGTCACAATTGTTTGACGGTTATGGTTAGTGCAGGATCCAGAATGAGCTTTCAACCTAGTTAAAATTATTTATGCAGATGAACCTTCAACTTGGTGCGCATAAGACTTGTGCCACATAAAAGTGAATCAAAAGTGAAGCTTTATCCACCAGACTGCCTAAATAGAATAATTCAAGTATAGTTAATGTACCATAGCGTATTCTGATGATTTGAAGTCAGTACACAAGAATTACTGTACGTCTATAAGTCAGTAATTTCATCAATACACGTCTTCTCTCGAAACTGAAGACCTGAAGGCCATTCAAGAATGGATAAGCGACAAGAAACTGTATCACAAAGTCTGCCACTAACATATTTTTAGGAGGACATCGGGATGCATTGAACATCATCTCAAGAAGACCTTCAAGAACATCACACCCTGGGTCCCCGAATGGAAACCGAATGGGAAAAGGTATGAAGATCAACCTAATTCAAAGCGTTTAACGTTTACAGATGGTGATTATAAGAACCAGTGTGGTGGAGCAGAGTTTGAACTGTCTGGTAGCCAAGAAATTTGGCAGGACACGAAGACGGATGATATGACTTTAGAGTAAAAAACAATACAATTAAACAAACTCGTTCACACAAAATCTGATTTGGTACATGAAGAAAGGTGTCTTTATAAAATCTTTCTCTTAGTACATTGACTATATTGTAAAACTAAGAGCTATAGGATAAGAATATAAAAGTTTGGAGGTATTTCATTAGCTATATAGAATTCATTTACTTACCTCTCCTTCAACTGTATGACCAGATTTTGGTTTGGATAAGATGATTTTAGGGATTAGAAATGGTAATGTCAAACCACAAACGATTCCCAGAAAATACTATGCAATATGAATACAAAAAAGAGGAGATATAAAATTAGTCATTGAACATTATGAACATCATTATGAACAATACCGAGATACACTGAAGTAAAACCTTACCAGTATTCTTTATCCGCGAGACATCACACTGATCGAATATGTACAGGCAGTTAGCGTGAATGATTCTACATCATTTCTCATTAGAATTACGTGACTGAAGTCGTTGAACATCCTTTCACTCATGTGAGACTAAAGGAGACGTATTCAGAGTAACTCAACCCATGCATGAGAATCGTTTCAAGAGTTCTTTCAACTAGGGGAGTCACTAAAACAACCATTAAGAAGGTTTCAGCAACATACATTCATGGTATAATAATGAGTAGAATTTATGAGAGACCAATATGTGACAATTGGATCACTGTTACTGCGCTACAAAGCGGATGAAAGCATCATCAATATCTAATGACATTTAGAATGAAAATCAACTTAGCATAATAACCAACACTATGGGGTGATGTTCAAGTGTTGGTTTGCAGGGATTCGATTGATTGGTTACAGGATTTCATCATGAGCTGACATTAGTTAGAGAATCATTGGGAAACCTGGGTGTACTGGGCAGCTGTTTCGTTCTAGATTATGACTCTTCATCAGTACGCACCCACCGAGATTCGAACACAGGACCTTCTGGTTACAAGGCGCGCGAGATCGTAGACCATTAAGCCACTGGGACCCGATCTAGTGACCAGCCCATGAATTCTATCTTCTGCGAATTGACGACATAGTGCGACCCCTAGCCAATGTCTTCGGTGGCGAGTATTTGTCCTCACATCCAAACTGCTGAACCCTACTAGTGACGACTTCTCACTAGAACCGCAGGTATAGATATACCTACTTGGAATGAATTAAACTGATTTCATTTTGTTTAATTTTAAGTCTCAAAATCATAAAAATTTCAATATTTGGGTACATTTTGACAGTTCAGAATGGTCAATTACAAGTCAGTGGTATTATCAACAGAAAATAAGTCTTGATATCTACACAATTGCCTAATGATGAGACCTGCATAAAACTTGGGTTATCTAAAACTTCTATCATTGTATATTACATATAATTTCTCTTATTCAGTTTGTTTAAATCTAGTAAACTATGACCTATGACAATTATACATCTCATCCAACAGTTGTACGACAATGCTGCATGCCAAGTAATCCACAACGGGAAACTTACGGAATCCTTCGAAGTGGGGACGGGAGTAAGGCAAGGGTGTCTACTATCGCCAATGATTTTCCTGATTGCAGTAGATTGGATAATGTGACAGACAACGGGTAATGAGGAAACAGGCATAAAATGGACTAACACAAAAAACTTGGCGGATCTGGACTTCACCGATGATATATGTCTGATTTCCAACAAACTGGAAGATATGCAAGTGAAAAGCAACAAGTTGGCAGAAGAAGCATCCAGAGAAGATAGGACTTCAGGTGAACATAGAGAAAACAGTTGTGGTGATGAAGGTTCCTGGCCAACAGCAGCAGCAACAACAACAACAGACAACAGTCAGCCTGCATAAATGCGAGGAATCTGAAAGAACCACCCCCTTCACCTACCCACCTGCGAAACATCGTTTCAACTACAGGCGAATGGAACTGACGAGGATATCAAAGCAGCGAGAATCGGAAAAGCAAGACTAGCTTTCATTACTCTCAAATCTGTGTGGAGGTCAACAGTACTCAGCATCAAAAATAAGATCCAGATTCTCAACTCCAGTGTGAAGTCAGTCAGTGCTACTGCATACGGATCAGAGATTTGCACTGTGCGTCATAAAGAGCATCTCAAACAAACTACAGACCTTCATTAACAGGTGTCTTCGCTCAATACCACTCAAGATCAGATGACCAGAAACGATCAGCAACAGGAATGTCTGGCAATGAGCGAACCAACTCAGCAGGAACCGATTGTGAAAAAAATAGGCAGGAAGAAATGGAGATGGATTGGTTGGCCATATGCTGAGGAAACCATCAAGTGACATCACTAGACAAGCCATCGCTCGAGTGGAACCCGAAAGGGGAGAGGCGAGTTGGTCGTCAGTGCAAGGGTGACTTAGAGGAGGCGATGTGAAGAGGAGATGAAAGCATGTGGACAGAGTTGGAGCAGGGTGAAGAAGATGTCAGAAAACAGAAGGCAATGGAGACGTACGGCTGAAGCCTTATGTTCCTCTAGGAATTAAAGGAAATAATAATAATATAATAATGATCTCTACTAGTATTGTTTAGTCTGGTGATTATTTAAAACTGCTCATTCGCAAGTTCCTACTAAACGTGGGAAAAAGTATTATTTTTGATGGTGGGTTATTCCAACACATGAGGGGAGCGTTCCTGAGTGGTGGTGTCTTAGGTCCATGAAATGTACTCCTGAATGCTTTATAAAAAAAGAGATATCGTAATGATGGAATGGTTTACGCTTCAGGTTCGATAGAAAAAAAACTGTAACACACAATCTATTGTCAATTAATATTCTGTCTGAAGAGACGAAAAGAAATGGATGATGGAAATTCCTGTACATTATATAAACAATTTTTACAATAAAACTGTTATTATTGTATGTGGATTACGACCTTATTAACACATGCATGTAAAAGTACAAACTGTCATTAGCATTATAAATCGTAATATAAGTTTAAGAAAATAAGAGAAATGATTAATCATTTTCAAGAGTTAATTTGTAACGACTTGATTTGTTTTTCGAGTTAGACCGTAGATTGAAATCAATAAAAGGACTATTGGAAACCAGCTGGGAATACTGGATGGCTTTCCAATCCTAGCTTGGAGCGCATCGGCAGCACACACACCTACTGAATTACGAAACTAGGACCTTACGGTCACAAGAAAAACTTGTAAACCGTCCAACCACCGAAACTCGACTCAATGGTTTAATGAATTCTAACTCCTACCCGATGATCACGCCAAAAATCCCGTATTGATAGAAGACAGAAGTTGTAGGTAGGGTGAGTGGAGTTTCGTTAAACTACCTTGTTAATACTATAAATACCATAAAGCCACTGGGACCCGATCGAACGGCTAGTCCATGAATTTTAACTTCTGCCAATTCACGACGTAGTGCGACCTGGGGTTCTTGTAGAAATTCGTGACCAGTAGGCTACAACAGATCGAGTGTGAGGACAAATACTCGCCGAAGACATTGGCTAGTGTACTGATGGATAGTCCCAAACTAGGATGCAACAACTATCCAGTGCTCACTGCAGGTTTTCCAGTGGTTCTCTAACTGTAGTCAGCTCACGATGAAATCATGTAATCAATCAATCAATCAATCAATCAATCAATCAATCAAATGCCTACCCAGCAATACCTGAACATATTTTATGAGATTAAGAATGCCTGAGGCATGACACTACCAGTTCACTGAGAAACAGGAAGTTTGCGGCACTATTTATGCCTTCCTTCATTAATCCATCCTTTTTCATATTTTCGCTTAAATTTTAATTTTATGTTCATATTCTTTTGAATAACATTGTCAGCGTAAATGAACTGTTTACTTATCTTCTTTTCTTCTTTACTTCGGCTATCTCCTACGGGAGGATGAGCCGGCTTCATGAGTTCATGAAGTTTCATGGGAATTAGGTACGAGTGATATCCCCAGCATCGCTTGGCCTTTTGCTTGAGAGTGCAGCTCTAGCCTTTACATAACCAAGTGTGACCTAAAAGGCAGTAGGAGTGGAGTAGGGAGTCCACTATCCATTGGCAGCCTTTCTGAATGGGGCCAGACATCCAGGGGATCCAATAAGCCCTTTGTTCATACGTATGTCGGTGATCTTCATACGCCAGTCGTTGGAGGTTTGGAATCAGGGTTTAGCCATCTCCCCTAGACTGTCATCCAATGGACAGTCAACCCAGTGAAGAGCTCCGGGCATCCGCTTTTGCCCTCTCACTTCGGTGAAAAACACCTCCGCCACGTGAAGGAAGTGAGTAGGACTTCCTCAGGAGAGGCTATATGAGACGCCTGGTCGTATGGGTGCATTTCAAGAGGTGTGCAGAGGGGTGGCCGACCCGCAGCGCAAGGCACTCACCCCCAACCATCCTGAGGCTTTGGAGGCTTATGCCATCTTGTATTATGTAGAGAGGAAATTAACTACAATATTGAATAACATGCTGAAAATTCCACATTGTATCAGATGTACTGTTTAGACTAAAGCCATTATTATTAACTCCATGACATTCAGACTCATTGTAGGATAAAATCAACCATCAGTCAAGACTGTAGTGGGGAAACCTATATGGGACATCAGGAAAATGACAAACCACTATATTGTTTTCAAAATGTTTCAATAATATCATCCATTCGACACTGGATACTCTCTTTCTCCCAGTTTTTTTGTTACCTCTTAAGTTCTATTAATCTATGAGTAAAACTAGGCTCTGTGGTAGTATACTTTGATTGGACACTAGTAACTATTGTGGTGCGTCTAGTCTAGTCTAGTCCAGACTGAATTCTATCAGTCAGATTTACAATGTGATCGACATTCTAAGTAGCTCATCATCATGATGCACATTAATTCGATGATATTAGATGGTTGGAGACAATCCTACAGTCCTACACAGGAGGTTAATCACGAGCCGAATAGCTCGTTGATAATGTCTCTGACTGCATCACTCACTGGGTGATACAGCTTCAAATCTCAGAAGGGACATGAGTTCCTTTGAGGTTGCAAATACGCCTTACTTACTGGTGAGTGCCAACTAGCACGAAACCTAGGTGTAAGGCTTCCTTCCGATTGCCTCCAAATATCTAATACTGGCGAAGTTAAACTTTCGACACCACTAACTACCTATCAGCGAATTATCCAATGAGATTTACGGACGATGTCGAATTATCCAATGAGATTCACGAACGTAGTTCAATGTTGTAGAGCGCTTGATTCATTTCTAATGCGTGACCTTACAAGGTTACGGCTGCAATTTGAGGAGGTTAGTGTTTTCCAGTATTACCTGGATTTAAATTGCTCCGGAAGGAGCGAACTTGTTCTTGTGTTGGTATCATGACTTTAAAAAGCTATAGCAGATCAACTGGTGGGTTTGTTCATCGTTGTGCTATATGTTTGAAGCATGCTAATATTAGAGAGGGTAAGCTGATAATTTTAATATTTCGTGGGAAATTTTTCCGCTAGGTCACATCTCTCCCTAACCCAGATTTTGTATATCTGCAATTACTGGGTGTTGAAAAAGCCGGTGAGAGCAGCAGCTGCCGAGACTGAGAATAGTATTGTCTCAACAGTTTAGTGGTATCAGCATTGCAGAGATATTGCTTCGTGTAAAATAGAGACAATCACTTGTTTGCTGTATGGATCCCGTTACGAGGACTCATACCAATTCCACTGAAGGTTTTTGAGGCCGCTTGAAAAACAAGATAAGGGCTATAAATGGATTTGAAAAGGATCTCATTTACAGCCGTTCAGATGAATATAAGTACAGGATGTGCTGTGACTTCGCCATTGACAGACACATGCTAAACTGGGGGATGTTCCTCTCACATATTCGAGAAAGATACTCCTTGTAACCGTTTTATCCTTCTTTATGCTTTTTTCTATAAATATGCGTTTCCATTCATCATATATGCCTATTTAATGTGATTGGTCCGTTCAAGGTCGTTTGCTGATTGGTTGCTAGTGGTGTCGAAAGTTTAACTTTGCCCTAATACTGTGATATTATGTAATTCAGTATTAGTTCGTTTATTCGATATATAAACAGCAAACAGTATTATTTACTGGATGACATTTCGCAAAAAATATATTGTTCATAATCACATCAGCGGCTATAACCACAAAATTTCGAAACTTGAGTTTTGTAGTACACTTTATTCTTTCCTGTTTTTCCTGTCCGATTGGACAGGTGTTGAATCATTCTTATTATACGTATTCACAGTTGGTTCGAAGCTTTGTTTATCGAATCAACTGCAAATACGTGTGATAGGAACACTATTAAACACCTCTTGCAGATATCTGGAAAATCCTACTACTCAAACGACGACAAACAGGAGAGAACAAAGAAAACTGTAAAACTCAAGTTTCGAAATCGTGTGTTGATAATTGAAATGATTATAAACAATAATAGACTGTGTTCGAAACTTTGTCATCCAGTAAATGATACGGTTTCACACTGTGTGATACATCTAATAAACAAACTAATAAGGTGCTCCTTAAGTTCCTTTGAGTGTCTAAACTTGCTTCGCATAAATCACCATTGATCTTCATGAGACTCTACTCAACATGCTATTTATATATGTTTATAAGTAGTATATAGCATGATAGCACCGTAGTCAGACGTTTCAAAACTTAACATGATTTTTAAATATGTGCGAATATTATTAACAACCAAAGAAGACGATCATGATGACTGAGTATCCCACACTAAAATCTCTATCTAAGAACATGAAACTAAACCTCAGAACATTCAATTTTGATTGACACAGCAAGTCAATGACGGAAGCAGACACTTTTAAGATAATGCTTGTTTTGCTTGTTGGGTGGTAGCAGTTGACAGTGGGAGACAAATACTCATTTCAACTTATTTGGCATTCATCGACATGATGTACCTGCATCCGTCGTGTGTGATGTTGTATCCATTAAGACTTGAACGCTTATTGGTAGTCCATATGTCAACAGAGAGACAACAAGAGCATTTCTGTCCAATTTAATTATTCTACAGGAAGTATAAATTGACATATATAAATAACACTCATCAAAATGAAACCAAATTGAAGAGAAATAAGATAACGACTTCTATCAATCAAATTAAAATTACCCGAAATACACTATTCTTTGTTGATAGATTACCACTCCATGTATTAGTAAGAAAATCTTGACAGCATGGATGTGCCATAAATTTAATACTTTGGCCTTCAGCAGCCAGTTTTATCACTGAACTACGACCATAATAGATTAATTCATGATTAATAATTAACTGTGTACGATGTTCATCCTCTCGATAACATTCATTCAATACACCTTCTGCACGTTCTTGAAAATTTCTATTTAACAAAAGTAAATAAGAATAAGGCAGAACATTCCGTTATTCACCAGTATCCAATCAAAAATATCCGTTAGAGTCCTACAGCACACTTCCTTTCTTTATCGAAACCCAGAAAAAAACTTCAGAAATCACAAAGAACATCTAATATCAAAAGCACTTCTTATCAAGTGGAATCCAAATTGCCTGAATAGGAATCATGGTCTAAAACAGAATCTGACCTGGTTATAACACCTCGTTCGCGCTCCATGAAGTGACAAAGTCAACACGAATGTGATAAGCAAGTTCACTATGTAAACACACACTGTTTTTATAATTTTATACATTTATCAAATCCCACAGGCATCTACACTTGGTTTTGTTATCTATACCAACTGACCAACTTGACAACGGTAAAATGACCTCAGACTGACGAACGATGATCAAGTTAGTAAACTTTGTTTTGATAACATAACAGATGTATAATTACTTTTATTATTTGGTTTAGTGATCTTCATTGTTATTTTGACTTTCAATATTTCCCCCTTTAAACTTGACCTAACTTGTCTATTTTCCCACCTCTTAACTCTTTGTTATATGTATGCTGAGATTTTGTAAACCGCGGTTCAGTAATACTTTGATAAAGCTAATAGCAACAGCATTAAACAGCGAAACGATAGTAGAAACAAAATCGTTTTGTTTTTCATTCATTCATTGGGGAATACAAAAACCTTTATTATAATGGACTAAGAGAAACAGGTGAATACCATTCAAACCGTACAGTTTGTTTGTTCATCACAAGAAGATACATCTACGAAATCATAGCAACCACTTACTTTGCAAAGCTTCTATAATCTTCTTTATCTGTGAAGTCATCTGTTTTATTCCCCAGAGATGTTAAAAGTATTGAGGCCAGTAAAGCTGCTGCTATAGGTTCCTAATAAGAAATAAGAGGAATATAAAAGAAAGAATATTTCATCAGTGAAAGCAGTGGAATAGCATAGTTGAGATTGATGAATCGATAGTTATCATTGATTACTAACACGTTATACTTACTTGATCTGATCTTCTAGATGAAACCTTTTGTTATGAAGAATAACTTGAAAAGACATGAATAATAAGTGAAAACAGCAGTTCTTCTGAAGTTTTAGTTACTCTTCAGTTACCTTTCGACCTGTTGTGACTATTTTTCATCGTTGTAGCTTAAGGGAACCCAACAAAAGTCTACTTAAAACATTTCCAACTTCTAGCAAAACAGAAATACCACTATCATGCTTTTTTAGTTTCCATTGTTGTGAACAAGCTAAAAGACTCAGCACCGCAGTTCACTATGAAATAAAACTAGGTAGTTGGACGAAGTCGATAAGAATTCCTGACACTCGTCAGGAAGGCATGCATATCTACCAGACTATTTATTGAACGTATGTCACCCAGAACAGCAGTCAGGGAAGCGCTTAGCTGCGACTTCAAACCTCAAACTTTAAGGTTTAAATCCGGGAAGTTGTCTACAAGATTGCCGATTTTCCATAACAGCCTCTATCACAATTCTCTCCTAGTTATTAATAAAGAAACTTTTGAATTAGAATACAAGTCACAATTTGTCGTGAATATTTTGACAGTTATGGAGTTCCATCTGAACCATTTGTAAGTATTGTGTCTTCAGAAAATTTCATATGTTACTTCTTCTAACGAGTAATAGTCACTGATTGATAAATATGTTTCAAATCATCGTCCTGTTATTCAGAATGAGCACACTATGTCTATATTTCAAGTAGCATGGTTTATACTTACAGATTTCGACAACGATAACCACTGGAAAAGTGTTCTTTGCTCCTCCTCAGTAAACTTGAGGCGTGATCTTTACTGGCAGTTAATAGTTCATCATCTCATTTACTGACGGACAAAAGTTCTGCATTCAATCAAATATTGTGTAGTTTTGTAGGCTACTGTCTAAAGTATTTTTTAAATCTCTTTTCATTGTTTTGCATTCCTGATAGAACATAGGTCTTCAGGCTTCAGTTTTGGAGTATCAGAGGCTGTTAGCCTCACACCCACCCACTCCCTGTTTATCAGGCTTACAATTGGCTAAGGGAAGTAAATGTTTGCACAGGTGGGGACTAGAACCCTGTACACTATGTGGGAGCATTCTACTGCTGAATCACGCTAAAAATGCTCCAATGGCAAAATAACAATAATATTCATCAATGGAAACCTTGAAACCGTCCCTAAAATTCATCTTATCCCATTTAAATGCAAAGAAAATGCGCAGTCACATGAAAGTTGGATATTTTTTTTCATTTAACAAGACTAACAGACGAAACTTTTAGGATATGATGGAGTGAATCAAATGCGGAAATCAGTCAGTGTTGTGTAGTGTGTAAGGAGCGAAGGTGAAAGGAAGACAGACATCACAGTGGGATTGGAACCAGTGACTTTGAAGCAGAGTAGTTCGACTTCGTACAGCTGAGCTACAGGACCTGACTTCTATCAATGAAGTTCACAGCATAGCCACCATACCTAGTTGGCTTATCGTCACGATACACTTTGAACTGTTGTTATAAGATGATTGAATGCATTCGTCAGAAAACCTTGGGTCTGGGCTTAATGTCTTCAGGCACTGGTCAGCTCAGTAGTAATATCTCCGACTGCAAAGCTGGGTAACCAGGGTTCGAGTTTTAGAAAGGAAATAAGTTCGTTCAATATGGCAGATACATCTGGCTGATTGATGAATGCCAAGATTCACGAAACCCACATCCAAAGCTTTCTAACATCAACAATTCAAAATGAACTGCGATGATCATTCACCTAGTAGGATGACAATATTTCAAAGTTGACCGATAGTCAATTCGGTCTACATCAAACGGAGGACTAAATATATGATACTTATCAGTGTTATACTACTAATAAGTACTACCATTTCATAGATAATAATAATAATTGTAATTACTTTTTCCATTGTCCAAAATAATTCAGCCATCCGTAGTTTACCAACTAAAATTGACCAGATTAAAAGTTCTCTAGCTGGACGATCCAACTGAATTGATTTCGTTTGTTCTTCATCTGTTTTTACGCGTGTGTATGTACACGTATATATTGCGCCCAACAGGCACACATACGCATTGCATTGAAGAAAGAAAATTATTTTATCCAAACCGACGGACGGATGACCACGAGTGTTTTGTTTCATGCGTATATACATGTACCGAGATACCGAAGTTGATTTTGTAAAGCAAAAGTATTATTGCATTGATTGGAGAAAAGGTTTGGCAATAAGGACAACCAAAAGATTGTTTGTTGATTTGAAATACATTTCGCCGCGGAGACAAAACAATAAAGGCATTGTCAAAGAGAAGGAAGAAAATGCAAAGAATTGGTTTAGCATATAAAACGAAAGACAATTCAAAAAGGGAAACGGCACGGATTAGTTTTAAATAGATATATATATATACTTTAAAAATTGTTAGTGTAAGAGCATTAACTAAGCGGACATTTATACACATACATAGACCGAATGTTAGTATGATTATTATTATTAATTATAATAATAATTAGGTTGAATCACACGATTAACGAGTTGACTAGCCAATTTAAGCGCCCATTTACAAATGAATATTTTAGAATAAAGACATTGAAGTACGGGAGAACGGGATACAGATGGGTTAATGTTAACACACACACACACACAAACAAGCCCACAAACACACGCAGAAGTACTCAGCAGGATTGAGAAGACAATGAGAAGGAGAAATTGAGACACATAGGGTCATACCGCTTTTGATAAAGGCGAAACACAAAATAATTAAAACAAAAAAACAACTGTCGATGATTAATGATCGTGCAAAATACAAAAATGATGTCTTTGAGATCACTTCACATTCATCATTTTGTTTTTGAGACCCTAGACAGACAGTAGCATGAAATAGGCGAGACAGCGACGGAGAGTGTGAAAGCACACATAGTTGAAAAGCGGAAATTTATGAATAAGGAGACGTTTGATGATTTCCACTGGCGTGCATAATGAAAGGGTATAGCCTTTATTTCAACTAGTCACAATCTCATTAAACATAAAAGAAAAGAGGTATAAAGAAGGGTGAGGTAGAAAGGGGAATTATCAAGTGGCTGGCTGTATGCCTTTGTATGTATGTGTGTGTGTATTAGGGAATCGATGCCTATTACGTAATTATGCAATCTCTCTCTCTATATATATATGTTTATGCGGAAATGAATAGTCTTCACTTTTGTTTTGTAATACATAATTAAGAATTCAGTGTTGATCTATTTGATGCATACTTCTAATTAATGAGGCTGTATTCATAATTTTTTGGAGAGGTATTTTATGAAAGTGTTTAAGTTTTTCATAAATTTTGGTATGTCAAAGGAATAAGCAAGCATAACATTGAAGACAGTTAGACAAGATGATAGCATTTTTGATAATATTAGTCTACAGAAAGGATTAAAGTTTGTCAGTAGGGTAAGTCTTGTGCCATTTAGTCAGCTTGTTACTGCACTAGTTGACAAACTCCTGAACTCACGTGAGAAATGGTGCAAATCGATACTGGCTGATTCTGAAAACACCTTCTATACTCAAATGTCATCGCCTTGCATCTCATCAGTTAGGACTAGAAACTCAGCGCTACTCTATTCCGCCTATTTCCTTTGTGATGGAGATAACATTAAGCGACAAATCTACGACTTACTACATTATTAGCCAAAATAATCGGCTCTTTTTAACCCCTTCTGTTTGTAGTCTGTGGTGACATCATTCCAGCCAACTTTTAACTTACCTACTAGATTTATAATCATTATTTCACACGTTTTAAGCATATTTGACCTTATTGTCACTGATAATACAAAAAAACGCTGCTGTTATCAATCCTGAAATATTATTTTTTATGTTCCTTTGTCTTATTGTCGAGTAAATTAGATACAATCTTGTATGAAATGCTGAGAATTCCACATTGTATTACAAGTACTGCTTTACAGTAAAGAGAATCATTAGCTACAGGATTTCATCACGAGCTGACATCGGTCAAAGGACTATTAGAAAACCTGCAAGGAGTACTGGACAGCTGTTTCATTCCACTAGTTTAGAACTCTTCAGTAGTATGCACCAATCACCAGGGTTCAAATCCAGGAGCTTCCGGTTACATGGCTAACTTAGAGCATGAAGGCACTGGGACCCAATCCAATGGCCAGTGTATCAATTCCAATTTCTGCCAACTCAAGATGAAATCCTGTAATCAATCAATCAAATACCTACAAACGAATACTTGGAAAAGAAACATCATTATTACTATTATTATTAAGCATAACGCTGAAGATAGTAAGACGGGATGAAAGAACTTCTGATAATTTTAGTCGATAGAATGTTTTGATCAAATATGAGTGACTTCAACAAGAAATAGTGTTCTTCCGCTCTAGACAGATCAAAAAGTAGATGTGATGTTTAAGATATGTATAAGTTCCTGTGATATATTATGCTAGTTTATGACCTTTATATATGTGGATGTTTCAGGGGTAGAAATCACCCCAGCTACACCTCACTCGGTCCGAGGTCCTTTTCTCGGTCGACAGAAAGGCTCTTAAACTCTTTATAACCATTAGTAAGGCCAATAAAGAGGGATGCCAAGGCTAGGTGAGGCTCATAACCCAACGAAACTTTAAAGGTCTTCCACATACAACTGAGGCCACTGGAATCCATCCGAAGAAGTTAAATCTGTGTGTTCAGAAGAACTTCTTGTAGCCAACTGTCATACCTGAACCATCGGCCTTTACATGAATGTAAAAAAACTGACAGTTTCTCAACCCGGCTGTAGGTCTTTTATAAGTTAACACTGTCGAAGTTATTTTATTTTTCTGACTGTTTCACCTTTAGTTGCCTATTACGTAATTGATTTCAGAATTCATTTTCTTCTTAATCACTCCTGCTACTTTTTGAAATGTTGTCTTACACAATCCACTTGAATCATTTTTGCAATTATTCCTACTCTATTTATTTTCCGATTAATTGTCATCCTTCTATGACATGTTAATATTGACTAATTATTGTTAACAAACTTACCGCTACCACTAAATTGTGTTGTATTGCGTTAAATATGGTACATCTATTTGAGTATAGCCACACAGATGAGGATCTAAGTGAGAAGTAAATATCTCCCTACTCAATCCTTTTGTCTTCTAAATGTCTAAGTGGAGATTTTTTCATTATTATTATTATTCTCTTGGGTTCTAAACGCAAAGTCTCCATCCCCACATTGTCCCTGTTCCATGAAGTCCTCTTCAGCTGTCTTCACGACTGCCCAACATCTTTCATCTCCTCTTCACACGATTTTTTCTGTATCACACTTGAGTACCCAAATCATCTGTTCTCACCCAGAACTGACCTGGAGCTCGACGTCATTCGACGACCTTCACGGTGTGCGTTTCATTCGTCTTCAATTTCTTCATGGTATTTGTTGATTTGTTGCCAGAATTTGTTGCTTCTAATCATTTTCGTACAGCCATCTGATCTTTACTATGGAGAGAAGGCAGTCTTTGATGAAAGTCTGCAGCAGGCTGTTGGAAATGATTTTCATGAAGCGTTCAACAAATTGCTGACCCATGCAGAAATACTGATTTATTTTCTTAACATTAGCGTTGAAAATCTGAATCTTCTTCTTTATGCTGAGTGCAGAGGATTTCCAAACCATCTTCAGAGTGATGAATGCATGCCCTGACTTTCCAGTTCTGGTTTTGCCCTCCTCATCTGTGCCATCTGCCTGTAGTTGAAACTATGATACCTAGATAAGTGATTGATTATCTCCATTGCCTGTATCTTCTCTATGTTTATTTGGAGTTCCTCCTTCACTGCTTTTTCAGTCAACTTGTTGATTTTTGCCTGTAAGTTTCTCAGAATTCATGTGATATAAATCATCTACGATGTTCAGATCTTTCGGAGTCCTCTTTTCTGTCTTCCCACCCCACAGATTCTCCCGTGTAATCTAGTCCACCACAATCGGGAGTATCATCGGTAATAGTTGGTTTACTGATATTAAAATATATCTAAGCTGCAAGTGATCGAAGTAAACTACTTATAAGGAAACAAATAAGTAGTGCGTAGTTTATCTTCACCAGATGAATTCGATATTTCGCATTTAGAGATGCTAGAAAAAGAAATAGAACTGGAAGGAGTATCTTGTTCAAAGAGTCCTCAAAGTACAGATTACCTTTGCATATATTGAACTGACTACAAGGTTATACTGTAGAATTTTAAATTCACCTAATAAAAACAATTTCCCTACTTCTTGCACAATTCGACGTTATTTTTTTCCACACTAGTCATTTTTAACAAACAACACTTGAGAAGAATGAACATTGACAGTTTAATCAATGAAAGTTTTTGTTTTAATTCCATCATAATTAAAGTAGGCGGAATTTTCAACTTCATACATTAAAGTGTTCTTGTTATCTCTTTGTATCTTTATATGTTTTTAAATGATTTTTTTCATGCAATTACTGATGGATGAGTTATTTATTCAATTGAGCATTTCAAACATCACTGTAGGCACATAAAAAGGTTCCATCTTGGGAAAAAAGGGGTAAAATAGAGGAGGAAGAAGGAGGTTGGTTTTACAAGAAAATACTAAAAACCGGGGGGGGGGAAGGCTAACAGTCAACTAACACTTTTTCTTTTTAAAGCAAGCAAGCTCACAAATATACATACTTGTACACATATTAACACAAATGCAGATACAGACATAATATACACAATAGTTACATTGGGAACCCCTCCAAAAACACACGCAGAGAAGCGCACAAAATACACTGACGCACATAGAGTTCTCTTGAGAGAGGAGCGAACAAAAAAGAGACATGAAAAGAAGAGGAATGGGAGAAATCAATGGATTTTCAGTTAATTACGCAAAGGAAAAGAGGCGAATGAAGAAAGCAGATACATGCAGGAGTTTATTTTGCTTGATAAAAAAGTGGAAGAGTACATGAATTTCTTTTTGATCTTTCTAACAGACTGAGTGAATGAATCACGTTGTTAGTTAGGCAATAAACAGATAGGTATAATTTTA